AAAAAAAACTTGATTCACATTCTCTGATCATTGTAGTAATTACACTCCAATGCCAGAAATTGAAAAACAATAGTTCCATAGATTTAGTGCTGGAGTTATAACCTTATAAAGTGTTTATTTATTTTGGCTTGTATTTTTCTTTCAATGCAGGTGCTATGACACCTCAATGAGTAGGCTGCTAAAATCTTCTCTTGTTTTACTATATAAGTGTGAAGTTTCTTAACAGAAAAAATAGGTGTATTGTAGAGTATGAGGCAAAATTGACTTAATCCATATTTAAAAATTAGTCCAGAAAAGGTTAAATCATGATCAATGCATCTAGTTACCTCTCCTTAAACAAAATATTAATTGGGATAACATTGATTTCTCTTTTCAGGTTTCTTTAGTAGACCTCCAGCAGAACAGGCTTAATCCCTATTTCTGGAGAGCAAGTGAAAATTGGAACCACAGGTGTGTTCTGATGGAACTTGTAAATGGAGTCATTGCTTTTTGTGTGCAATGTTGTCTTAGTATTGCATTTACATAACACATCTCATCAAAGGAAAAGGATAAGACAACCTGATGTTTTCAAAAAATAAACACACACAAAAAAAATTCTGCTTTCTTTTTCTTCCCAGGTAGCATACAAAGGGTTGAAGCACTGGATATTGTTGAGCCTGACTTGCAACTCTTATCATTTTCACAATGCCATAAACTTTAAGTTCCCCCCATCAATTGCACCCAGTGTTTCTTGTTGGAACATCTACATGCAGTAAGCACATTGATATTGATTGTAGTAATGCCCTTTCCATCCTTTTTTTTTTTTTGACTTCCTTGAAGATTGCTTTTCAGAGGCTGCTAAGATAACCCAAGTTGGTTTATGTTTCTGTTCTTCCAAGCCATTACATACCTTAAGTCAAATATTAACTAGCCATGAAGGGTTATGTCAGTTTCCCGGCTCTGTTCACTGAAACTTTTTTTTATGTCCAGGGCACTTTATCCAATGAAAATCACATTGACCATATAGAGTTTTTTTAGAGACCTGTCCATGAAGAAAGCAGAAGGGCCCAGAGACAGATATCTGCATATGTAGGACACTGGGAGTCATCCAGCAGAGTTTAATCCAAATATTTCCACAGTTCAAGGAAGGAGATCAGAAATTGATTAAAGACACAGATTATGAGAAAGCATCCAAAGAAGGCCTTGACTCTCCTACGCTGCTTTAAAAAATAATTTTTATATTTGTTCTTTTTAGATATACATGACAGTAGAGTGTATTTTGTCATGTAGTACATACATGAAGTATAACTTATCCTAATTAGGATCCTATTACTGTGGTTGAAGGGAGGTTGGGGTTGTAGAAGTCCTAGGATACTTTGTGTTAGTTACTGTTGAGGCCTGAGAAGTTTTGTTTCTGATGCTGAGGCCACAAAGATGGTTCCATTTATCTCCATATAAAGATAACCCCTGCTGCTTGTGGTGTAGCTATAGTATAGTCCAAGCAGTTTAGGGCCTTTAGCTTTTTGAGCCAGACCTTAGGACTGGGCAGTTATTCAGCTCAAGTTTTACAGCTGTTGCTTTTGTCCAAAAAGGCTAGGGGGTTGCAGAATTTACTCTACTCTAGCAATATGCTTTCAAGCCATCGCTGGTTTTATTTTCTGTTTGCAGATGTTTATCCTGCCAATCTCCCTGTGTATTTAAGTTGATGGGTTATAGTCAGCATAAATCATTCTTTCCTAGTATTGGATGTCCCCTGCCCAAATTGGATGCCCTGTCAATCTTAAGTGGGGAAACCATTCCTGTCCCCAAGTCATAATCTAGCAGTTCAGACACCCACAAAACACATTTTTTGACCAGAAGGCACAATCTCATATGAGAAAAAGGGGCTGGAAGGCATGTCTGAACTCAGGTCCTCTTTTCCAATTTCCCTATAGCCCAGGCAGCTTTTCTGGGATTTTTCTTTCATCTCAGGGTTCCTGATCTACAAT